CCTTCTCCTTCTCCTTCTCCTTCTCCTTCTCCTTCTCCTTCTCCTTCTTCCTCTGTAGCTCAGGCTGCTTCAAAGTCATGGTGATCCTCCTGCCTCAGCTTCCCAAGTGCTGAGATTAGAGGCATGTGCCACCATTCCTGGCCGCGTCCTGCTTTTACACTAGGATGCAAGTGCCATCACCCAGTCATTCAGTTAGATTCTCCCAAGAGGGCACGGGCTTTGTCAGGCAGTTGTTTTCAGCAATGCTTTTAGGTGAAGAAAACTGAAGAAGAATGTTGCTTGAGGTCATGTGATTTGCTATTTGGCATAGCTGGGGTTAGAATACAGGTCCTTTAAAAATAGCATTCCGAATCTCAGTAAAAGAGGAAGGTAGGTGAGCTCCATCACTGAGGGACAGGCTTTAAACTGGAGTTAATTTTGAAAATGACGCACTGACAAGGCCCAGAGCAGCCGACTCTTACAGGCTGAGAGGCTTTATATGGGACTTGTAGCGGGGCTGCACTGTGACTTTTGACCCCTGGGCTGCTGTGCCTACAACGTTCATCAGCTAGGGCTCTTTGTTTCAACAAGGGCTTCAAAGCTTAGTCCTCTGGTGGGATTGACAGTTCTACTGTCTTAATTTAACAAGAGCCATAAATCTTGTGGGTTAAACCAGTTGTGACCTGGCTGAGGGGGCAGCGATCTAATTCCTTCCCAGAATGCTTAGCATTCCCTTGTTACTTATAATTTTGACTTTGACTTTTCAAAAATATTTCCCGCCTGAGCTTCAAAAGCTTTAAAAGCAGTAATCACTCTCCCCTTCCCCCCAGCCCAGTCACCAAAATCTCAGCACTCTGGATTCTGGGTGTGGATAAAAAGGAATCCAGTGAAACAAAGAGGAAATTTTCCACTCATATGAGATTAAGAACATTCTCACTGGTGTGTTTAAGTAATGAGAGAACATTACAGACTAGGTTGTAGAGCTGACAGTTCTACAGGAAGCAGCCATGAAAAACCATTCTGGGCAAGGTCACCAAAAGGTGATACAGGACACCGAGACCCAGTCATGCTAAGGAGAGCTGACTTGTTCTATTGTTTCAGAATGTGAAAACAGGACCAAAAGCTTATAGATGTGTTATATACACACATTTCTCTTCCCTAGTTGAAATGTCTATTTAATTGTCACTGTGGTCATTCTAAAACATTTTACATATCTTATAAAAATACCCCAAGATGGTTTATAACCACTTGGGTCTCAGAGCTCCCAACAGAATGGGAAAAATTTCTTAGTTCTGCAGATGAAGAACACAGGGTCAGTGAAGGGGTGATACAAGCAGAGAATCAATTTTGTTTCAGGTGGTTCTAAAAATCACCTTAAGGTGAGGCTGTCAAAACCACAAAGCCAGAGGCACTGGACTTCACTGAAGATGATGATTTAAATAAAGAATCTAGAGGAAGCATGATTGCTATCATTTATTACATCAGTATTTGTATAATTCTTGTAGTTTGGCAAAACTAGGTATAAACGTTGAAAACGCTATAGGTTGAACTGCAACAAAGTGATTTTTCCTTCTCTTTTGGACTGGTGAAAACAGTTTACACCCTCAGCCTAATGCACCAGAATACTTTCAGTCTCCCCCCTTGTAATTCTCTCCATCTCAATACATTGGAGATGTTTTGGGTTTATGTAGACAGGTCAATCTAGCAATGGCACTCCTTGGTCCAGGTACACAACGGTCCCGCTGGGTTTACACGTACCTGCAGAATGCCTTCCGTACCAGTCTTCTCGAAGAGGAGGCAGCTGCCCTTCCAAAGCTGCATTCTGGCCTTGCAGTCTTGGGAACAAATGCAAATTCTCTCCTTCTGGGTTCTGATGAACGATGAAGTTCAGAGGACCAGCTGAGGAAGTCTCTGCCTCCTCCCTTTGCAAAGGTGCTACTTTGGTCACCCTAGGGTGAAGCTTAGAGTGGCTCAGACCCATTTCCTGTGAAGGAGGTCCAAAGGAAAACTATGAGGGATGTGTTTCCTGGGCCTTTCATGTAGCTTGCTTTAATTAAAGAATCCAGAAGTTACCCTCGCTTTGCACAGATGTCCTTCCTCTACGACGGCCTCTTGACTCTTTCACTGCACACTAACTCTGCTGGCCACTTCCTGGGAGGCCCGTTTCCCTGGAGATTTCCCTCCTAACTCCTACCTTGCCATTCCAGACCTGAAGAATCCAGTTAAACATTGACGTGGTTATGTTCCTCTCTGAAAAACAGTGGTAGGACTAGAAACCACTGTTGACCATGACACAAATGCCTGATACCGGGAAAGCCTTTCTTGGTAACAGAAATGCAGACCAGAGGTTGAGGGCAGTCTTAAACGTGACCTTTTTGTTTCAGGTATGTTTATAAGAATGAAAAACTGAGAGTAGCTAAGTCATGCTGTGAAACTGGTATGTGTTGACTGTGGGGGCCTTTGGTAATCTTTAACTTAATGAGAGGATGTGTCCTCCTTCTGAACAGGCCTGAGGACAGTGGAGTGTCTGAGACTATTTGATTTTTCTTTCCTTGACTTGAAGGTCTGGGCTTTGAAGGTCATGGACACATTGCAGGAAGAAGGAAGACAGCAGGAATTTTTCCCTTGGGGAGCAAGGAAACTGATTGAATAAATAGCCCAAATATAAACTGTTTCCAAAGATAGCCTATAGACTATGTTTTTAAAAAGTAGGGGAAAAAAGACTGGAAGAAAATTTTCCAAAAGGTTAGGTAGTAATTTTTAAATGATGGGGTTATGGTTGATTTTTATCTTACTCTTTACACTTAGAAATAGGACTCATCATGAAGTTCTAATTGTCCATGGCCACAGACTACATGTGCTCTTCAAAACTCCATAGAGTAAATTTATGAGTGACTATTTCTTAGCCAGGTGTGGCGGCACATGCCTGCAATCCCGGCGCTCTGGGAGGCTGAAGCAGCAGGATAGAAAGTTCAAGCCCATCTTAGGCAATTTAATGACTTAGGGAATATATATATATATATATATATATATATATATATCATAGCATGACATACCATAACATAATGGGCCAGGGACGAAGCTTAGTATGAAGGCTCTAGGTTCAATCCCTACTCCCCCCGCCCCCTTTTTTTTTTTTTTTTTTTTTTTCTCATTTGGCCAAAACCTATTTGCTAAGGACTAAAATGATGTTTGGAAAGTCTTGAAAGCCAATGGGGATTTGGTTCTGATCTTTTCCTTTATCATTATTATTTAATTTTGAGACACTGTACCACTGAGGAATCTGACTAGTTGAAGAACTAGTTGCAGAAATGGCAACGCATCACCATGTGTGTTTATTTACATTACTGGCTGCTTCTAAGCTTCGTGACATCTTTAGCTTATCCAATTTACTGAGCTGTGTACTAGGATTGTCTCAGTTCCTTTTGTCTCCTTGCCGGGACAAAATATCCAACAGTCAAAACTAAGGAAGGGAAGGTTTCTTCTTCAGTTCATGGTTTGTGGAGGTTTCAGTCCATACTCGGCTAACTCCAAGGCACAGTGGCATATAGAGGAGGACAACAGTTCACAGTGGCAGAAAACAGCAAAACTGCAAGAGGAAGAAAAGGAGGAGTAGCAGCAGAGAGCAAGCCTCTCTCCCTTCCTTATATTGCATTCAGGCTATCTGCCCCAGGGGGTTATGGCTATGTAGCACCACAACCATAATCCTGTGCAGCACTCACACCCAAAACCTCAGCATTAATCCCTGGTTCCGCAGAAAAACAACAACAACAACAAAAACCCCTAGCATTGGATCCTGAATGAATAAAAACTGCACAGCCCACCCCATGACAGCATGAGGCTTTGGGGGTCTATTTAGACACAAACCATATCAGCACTCAAGACTCCAGCTATAGCTTATCTTTAAGGAGGTATGCATTTGTTTGATCTTTTTGTCTTGAGGTCTGGCTCACAGTGGGAGTGTCTCTCTCTCTCACAGCTGCAAGATCTCTTGCCTTCCACAGTGGCTCCTTCTGAGGGCCTGGCCCTGTCTGGCTGCCTATAATGTTTCTATCTAATTCAGCTGCCTACAATAATAGTGAGTAAGAAGTCACAAGATACTCAAAATTTTAAAATGTTACAGTGAAATTTCCAATATAGTGTCTAATCCCACCTTCTCATTCTACAGATAAGGACACCAAAATCTAGGATGTTGAAGTGACTTCCCAATGTCACCAGCCTCCTTCTATCAGCATATTTTTAGAAGAGACACTAAGCTCTCAGGGTTGGCACTCCACCGGACAGAGGCCATGGGAGCTCTCTGGCCAAAGTCTTCTGTCCCACTGTGGCACTTCCCCCTCATAGAAACCTGGGTGCCATGTTCTTCTGCTGTGACAGTACAATTGTCACATGTTCACACATGCATCCCTAATTTTAGGTCATTTTACTTCCCATTTTTTAAAAACGTATCCTGAGTTATTCTGAAGTCTGTTTTTGTTATGTTTTCTCTCTCATCCTTTTATTAGTTCTCTATGTCTTGAAAATTAACTGTGGACTACTGTACTCTGTTGGATTATTTTGCTGAATTTACGCACCTGTAGTATTTAGACGCCAATGTAATATCCATCTCTGACAGGACTGAACAAAAAAAGGGGAGGGATACAAAGGAAGGACCATTTTGTATCTGTATATACAGAATAGTTAGGGTAGATATATAGCTACTTGCTTTTAATTCAATGAAAAGAACGATTTGTACTAATAGTGTTTGGACAGGATATCCTGTCTGCTTCTTATACTATGGATAAACACTAAGAAGATAACAATGTACAATGTATTAATTATTGAAACTGTTCTATTAATCAGTTTTGAAGTTGTCTCATTGCTATTTGTTTCTCAATAAAATAAAATAAAATTAAAAAAAAAGAAAATTAACAACTCAATTCTTCAAATTTGGGGCTAAAATAAACATTTGCCTTCACTGACAAATAAAAGATTGATGCTAATGACTTACCTGTATCAAAGAAGGTGGTCTTAAGGTTTGATGAGAAGTGAACAGAATTAAAAAGCAGACCTTCGACACCCAGAGTTTCTGGGAAACGCACAAATGATTCCCTGCTCCTACAGATATCCACAACTTCTTCATCTTTCACAAATTAAATCTGATGTTCCTCAAACACATTTGAAATAAATTTAAAACTATTTTTATTCGATGTTCTCTATTTTGCACAATGACTGATTTTATTCTATGTGCATTCCCACTACAAATGTCCAGTATTACAGCAATCTTACACACTAAATTGGATTTTAGTACTGAACTGCAGTGAAACCACAACATACAGCATTATGGGGCAAGATGCAGTTAGACTTGGAAAAACTCCAGCTGAAGTCAGAAATTGCTTACGCTTTAAGTAAAATTTAACCAATTCATACTCTTGAAAGTCACCAGTCCAGGAACTATAATGTCCTGGAAGTAAAATAATAGCAATGAGATGTAGCACATGATTGAATCCTCACACCACCACAGGAGACAGACATTATCTCCCTCCTATGCTTTGCTTCCTGGCTCCAGTTCAGATCCCTCAGCCTGCTAGTGCAGGTCCTTCATCCCACTGGCAAAGACTTGCTGGCTTCCACCACTGACCTTTGGGCCTTCCCAGCACAGATCTGTGAAACAGGATTCAGTGAGACATTGTCATGTGCTCCAGGTCTCCAGCTGGGCTCACGGGAGGCATTGTTATAGGCCCTGGGTCTTCAACTGGACAAATGCACGACATTGCTGTGGGATGCAGGCCCTCACTAAGATTCTTTGGTCTTTAGTGTATGGATAGGTTTCCTGAACTCTCTTTATAGATAATTCTTTGGGTAACTATCATAAAATAATCTTATAATTAAGTGTTCTAAAGATCTGCAATCTGCTGTACAAGGTTACAGGATAAATCCTGAGGGCACTTGACCAACCTTATCAGATACAAAAGTTACATTTTTTGTTATATAGGTCTTGCTTTATCTTGGTCTTAACCATCCAGCAGAAAAGTATGAAAACGAGATATATAAAGTAAAGCCGTATTAGTATGCTAAGCTGTGAAAGGCCCAAGTCAACAACTTCTGTGGAAAACCCACTACTGTTGTGGACTGCTGGACTGTGTTGGATTGTTTTGCTGAATTCACTCACCTATAGTATTTAGATGCCAATGACATACCCACCTCTGACAGGACTAAACAAAAAAAGAGGATACAAAGGAAAGACCATTTTGTATCTGTATATGCAGAATAGTTAGGATAGATATACAGCTACTTTCACTTAATTCAAGGAGAAGAAAGATTTGTACTAATAGTGTTTGGACAGGCTATCCTGTCTGCATCTTGTACTATGGATAACCACTAAGAAGACAACAATGTACAATGTATTAATTATTGAAAATGTCTTATTAATCAGTTTTGAAACTGTCTTATTGCTACTTGTTTCTCAATAAAATAAAATAATTAAGTGTCCTATATTGCATTGTTCTTGCAAAACTCCAAACTATGACAGCAACCATCTTTGTTAATTCCTGACTTTGGTCCCTGAGCAATAAACGCAAATGCTGACAGTTTTAGTTTTAGCCTGACATGTTGCTCTGCTCATTTTTCTCAGCTCATGAACAAGGCATGTTTTGGGAACTGATCCATAGACTTAGGACTTAAAAGCCCAATTCGAAAACAAGAAGGTGTTTGAGGACCACTAGCTCTGGCAAGGGACTGTGCAGTGAATTGGCCTCCAGAAGCTGGCTTGTCCATCCAATCAGTTCTGTTTATAGAAATAGCATGCGTAACTGGCCTTTTCCTTCCAGGACCCTAAGAAAGTGAGAGTGAGACCTGTACCTTCTTGCTCTTCTCTTCATTAAGCACAAGGCTAGAGTACAGCAAGACATGTCATAGGCAGCAATAACATGTGACTCGTCCCATCAGCGTTTCCATTCCAGTGCTTATGTGTCAATTACTAATGCTTTAATCTCCAGGAAATGTGTTTGTTTTTGCCTAGAAACTACCAAGCTCCAAGTGATCATGCAGATGGAGCCAACGATAAATGTGCCAGACTCCTCTTACTGGGGACCACTAGATAGACCTTGGAAAGGGAGCTCATGACAGCTACCCCAAACATGACTTCTGT